AATTGGTTACTTTTAAAAAAAATCACAGTAGGATAGAGTATGTGGGTGTCTGTGATGAATCAGAGGAAGCTATGAGATAGGATATATGCAGAGCATACTGAAAGCAGATGGAAAAATCTCAAGAGTCCTGGGAGGCTTGGTGCAGCCATCAGAAGAAATTTCAACGGAGAAAATGAGATGGGGAGAGAAACTTACTGTGTCCAGGGTGGTCCAAGGGGACTCTATAGTGGCTGGCGAATTAAGAAAGGGACTAGAAAGGCTATTTTCAGAAAGAGAAGCACAGCTTGCAAAACAGACAAGTGAAATCCAAAAAATTTAAATGGACTCATGTAACAACTTGGAGAATTGAGAGTCTCTAATGTTGAGAACACGTTTGTAAGGAAAGGAAAGAGAACCACTTTGGAGCCAGATTATCATTAATATATGCTTCAGAATCAAGTCAGAATATTCATATAAGATTTACCCCAATAGGACTGCGGAAGAATTCATGCTGATGTGTATTTTTTCTTCCCTCTTTTTTGTGTCAGGCTCAGTGGGAGGGAGAAAGAGGAGTTTGGACTTCACTCCCTGGCTCGCCTTTGATAGAAGTAGTTTCAGATTTCTGCATTATGTCCCCAAAACTGAATGTACATCTTTTTATGGCTTCTGCCATGTAAGAATAGTTTTTTTTTTAAAAAAAATGTATCTTATTTTTAGGATGTTTCCATAGATTGAAAAAAGAAGTTGTGAGGAATAAGTCATCCCTATGAATATAGACAGAGGTGACCCAAAATTTATTTGGATTCCTTCCTAACAACTCATTTCATTTAAGCATTTATTTAGAAGAGGGTAAGATTCCTTATAGAAGAAGTACTTCTCTCTTTTTTTTTTTTACAATGAACTTTTAAAAATTTATTAGTTCCAATCAGTCTTACACAACAGTAGAAAGCTCTTTGATTCATTGTACACGAATGCAGCAGAATTTTTCACGTCTCTGTGCATGAAATAGAGTCACATCATTTGTGCAATCAACAATGAACTGTTTTGTTAGTTCATTTTAGTCATACATAATGTTGGAGTTCATTTTGACATAATTATACAAGCATTGGATATAATTTGCTTTAATTCAGTCCTCAGGATTACCCCCTCCCTCTTTTTCTCCCTTCTCCTGTTTCCTTTTCCTCCACTCTACTGATCTTTATTCTATTTATTTATAGCTTTTTTAAAAAACTAGCATTTTGGAACTATGCTCTGTGGAATAATAGACTTCCAGAAGATTTTAATAGATGATCCTTCAAAAAATAATTCCATGATCAAACATGAGTAGGAAATGTTAACTAGTGTTTATTCTTCTCTTAAAAATTCAAGTGCTCACAAGAGCAATAAGAGGCCTGTAGTAGACATTTTTGCTGTCACCAGTAAACAGACACCCAACAACCAGGCTCTCTTATTACTTGCCATTAGAACCATGTTTTATTTAGATAATAGTGTTCCATCTGGGAGCATTGGTTTAACCCAACACATACATGTGGCTGGGTGTATGACTCAATCAGTAAGATGCAGGAAGAATTCTGTGAACACTTGGGGAAAATGTTCTCACCTAAATAGAGAGATGGATATAAGAAAAGAAAGTGCTTTGGCTCTAATCCCCTCTGTTCCTTCTGAGGACCCTTGTGCAAGGACGTGCTAGTTGTAGTTGTGGTGGTCATCCTGTGAACATGAGAGGAGACCCTATTGACCTCTCAGCATGGTGGGCTGAATGATAGAAAATATCTGGTTCCTGGTGATCCTCTCAAGCCAGCCAAGCAGCTCGATAAGTGGCCTGCTGAATGAAGCCAGGCATACTTCTAATCATGGACAGAAGCAGTCTGTTAGGACCGGCAGTGCTCAGGCTTATTTGACAGTGGGACCTCTTTTATGTGGTGCTATTAACATGGTTACCATGAAGCATAATTTGGAAATTCTCATGTTACACTTTTGTTATCAATAAAACAGCAGGTTTCCCTCTTCCCCAGATCACTTCTAGTCTCAACTCAGCTGGAGAGTAACATGAGGTTTTACAGACTTTAAAAATGATTGCAGTGGGAACCTTGACCCCAACAAAAGGCTCAGGTCTACTTGGTCAGCAAAAATCAGAGTTTTAACTGGCAAAATTCAGTTCTGTTTTGGAACACTTTCTCCCAGGAGCATCATTAACCAGTTGGACAGAAATATTTTAAGTGGAGACAACAGATAGTGGGTATAAGTTTCACACAGTCACAATGTACTAGGGAAGGATGTCCCTGATTTGGTCCTGCATCTCCAGAGGAACTGAGGCAGGCTCAGGCAGGGTAAGAAGTTGCCAGGTTACAAGTCGATTTGCTGCATCTTAGCCCTTTCTAATCTAGTCATTGCCATGGTTTCTAGAGAGTCAAAACATTACTCAGAGCCTCTGGATGCTGAGGTCAGTTGGGTCTCCTCAGGATGAAATCACAGCGTGAGGTTGGAGTAAATGGATTGCTTGCACTTTTGTGCCTGAGAAGGTGAACAAAGGGGTATTGCACAAAGACTTCTTTGCACAGGTAGAGATTTTGCTTTGTGGTGTGCTTTATAGTTTTCTTTCAAGTTCCTTTTTAAAAAATTACACAAGTAACTACATCTTTGAATCTTAATAATTCCTATCTAACCCCAAAAGTAAGCAAACTTGAAGGATGTAAGGTATATTCTTCCATATTTTACTCTATGCTCAGATATGCATGTGGATAGATAACTTATTGTTCCTTTTTAAAAAATTATTTAAAAATGGAATCAAGGGGCTGGGGTTGTAGCTCAGTGGTAGAGCACTCACCTTGCATGTGGAAGGCACTGGATTCGATCCTTAGCACTACATAAAAATAAAATATCGGCATTGTGTCTGTCTACAACTAAAAAAAATCTTTAAAAAATGGAATCAAATTATCCACGATTCTTGGTACCTCACTTTTATCTTTTACTAACACATTCCCAACATCCTGTGGTTTAACCGAAGGAGATAGAATGTGTTCATCCTAATAGCTGCTTTGTATTACGCTGGGTCATGATAGTATATTTTAATCTACCATCCCAATTTCTGGATATTAATCTTGTTTCTGGTTGTTTTGTGTCATACACACACACACACACACACACACACATATACACCCCACCCTTCACACACACAGGGAACTTTATGTACAACATATATGCATATGTATATTTATCTTTCTGCATATCATGTCTATATCTTTGATTAACCTTAATATTAATCTTTTTCCTAGTATACTAGATCCAAAGTGGTTTGCTTGATCAGAGATAGGAGGATCATTAACTTTAAAAGATTTATAACAGTTTTCTATCAGATGCTCAATGGTACTAGATGTAACTACTTTTTAAAATTTTTTTCCAGTATTAGGTGGGAAATATGGATTAATATTCTTTTTATATTTTATCTTTTTAAATTAACAATGACCTCAAGCCTTATTTCTGATGTTTGTTTATTAACTACTGGGATTACTTTTTCTATAAGTTAGGAAGTTTTTCTAAAGGTTCCAAAACCTTATAGATTCATAATGCCTCCTAAAAAAAATATTTGGGAACAGGGGTATGTATTTAGAGACTCAATGCTTTGTGAGTCTGTGTGTGTGTGTGTGTGTGTGTGTGTGTGTGTGTGGTGTCACTTTATTGCTCAAAATAAAGAATCGACATTACTAGTTAATATTTATAGGATATTTATAAAATTTTGTACATTTCAAAGACAAGACCTACATGTAGACATCAATATTGAACCTTATTTGTGAAGCCATGTAAATAAGTTTGGGGAAAAAAGGAACAGCGTGTTGTAGCCTAAGGCATTCTATATACACATTCTAGAATGGCATTTAGTAAATAATGTGATAATAAATACCCCCTTTTTCTATAGCTTTTTGACTTTACAACATTTTGTGTATGGATTTATTCAATTTTTTACAATGATACTTTCAACTTGGGAAGATTGGTTTTAGTCCAGTTTTATAGCTTATGGAGTTGGGGCCCAAGAAGAACATTTTGTGTGTGTGTTCTTCAGTAATTAATTGGTGATACATAATTTAGTGACATAGTCATGGTATCATAATTCCCTGAGAAGAGCACAGTTTTCCACATCAGTCCTTATTTATTGTTGGGTTTGATGTTTTCCTCTTTCTTTGTTTCTGCTTTTGGTATTATATTCAAGATGACAATAAATCTCTTGAAAATACATCTCTTTCAGCACTTTTGACCATTAATTTACCTTTTACCCCAAAATTTGAGACACTGGGTCAGAAATTGTGAACTTTTTAAGGCTTCTGATCAAATTACTAGTTTTCAAAGCCAAACATTTCAGGTTTATTTTTTATATAGACAAAAAAAAAAACAGGCTTGGGAAGAAGAGTCAATGTTATTTTACTCTATATTCCTATTGTCATTTTAGTCTTTTCCCAATCATATTCCATACCTCATGTACCTGGTCCTTTGCTTCTAGTTGATAACTCTCTTTGTATTTGGGATGACATCAAAGATATTCTGCCAATGTCTAGAGTCCATTTATTTCTTAACATGATACTAATTATCTTGGGAGATGATGTTGATCTTAAATTAACTTACAAGTAAGGATTCTGTACCCAAAATATTTTCTTCCAAGCAAGAGAGGTAATTTAAGTGTCTATGCTAAACCACCCCCTTCTGTAATATTGATGTGAAAACCATATAGTCAGAGAAATATACCCAATCTCCTTTATTTTCCTTTCACACTGCAGTTAAAAGCTGATGTTAACATGTTTGATAGACCTCATCTCATTAAAAAGTGAATCTCTCCATGGAGACCCAGAGGACTGCAGTGCGCTCAGGAATTATCTGTTCAAATTCGTATCTGTGCCTGTACCTGTACTCTTAGCTCTATCTTCTTATGTGAAAGCTCTGTCTCTGCATCAGAAATAACAGACTTGTCAACCATGTTCATGGCATTTTCAGATTGTAATTATAAATATTATTGTAACTTCTAATTTTAGGTACCTAGTAGAAGAAATCAAGAAAAGAGAAGGATTCAAGTTACTGATGGAAGTAAGTAATGGTGGAATTGTGCTCAGAGTGTGTCAGTCAACAGTGATAAAGGTGGTAATTTTCTAATCTATTATATTTCATTGGTTTTTGTGTTACAGACTTAAAAACAAGTCATTAGCGTAATTCATAGAGTCCATTATGTTAATTTACTCTATTAGTGAGCATTTTTCCTTTGTTGGATTCACAGGGAATACATTTGCCTTTAAGTATTGAAAATTAAAATGCTCAATAATAATTACCAGGGATAATAGTGAATAAATTATGACCTCTATCTTGATATATAAATTGCATAATGAGTGTAGTGCAAATATTCAACTGTGCCTGCATGTGAAAAATCAATTATCAGAACGCACAATAATGCATACATTTTTCTCTTTCTGTAAAATAATGAGAGCGTATTAGCTTTGAAGCATTGGGAAAATAAGTCATTTTGTTGTTGATGTCGTTGAATTGTTTGCTACACATAAGAAGTAAGGTGGTTACAAAGCTAGAGGAATTCTTTCTAAGATATGAGAATATTGTTTAATTTTGATTTAAAAGAAAGTGTGAGGTTTTCTTAGATCTTGTTATAGCCTATACCTTATTGCATTTTTTTAACCTAATATAAAGTTACCGAGTGGTTGCAATCTAGGAACTTGTGCTGTATATAAGAAATCTAGTGAATTTTTGGTGAGCATTTGTTTGGCAAGATATATTGAACAATGACTGTTTGCCGGGCACAAGTCTGGGCATGCTGGAGATGGGGACAGAGCATGTTCCTGCCCTGATAGTGCTGACATTCAAATGGAAATTGAAAGGCACTGAACAAGCGAATAGATACTTGGAAAATGTCAGGTAGTGAGAACTCATGAGAAAGTATACCGATTCAGGAGAGATAATCTAGTATACAGATAAATGTTATCAATATGGCAAGTTCTATAATGGAAATGATTAAGATAAAATTCTGAAATGAGGGAGTGGGGGCACTGGTTTGGCTTGGATGGTTGGATCAGGGCCATTTAAGCTCATCTTTGAGCTAAGACCTGGATGATAATAAATGAGTGCAGATGTTCGAGGGAAAAGCATTCTAGGGAGAAGAGAATTTTATATGTTGGTGCCCTGAAAGGAAGGTGTCTTCAACAAAGAGAAGTGAAGCACATGATGCGGTTGGAAATGTGGGCAGAAAGGAGATCAGGTGGGTCAGGCTGATCAAGGTGAGACCTTCAGTTCTTATTCCAAGTACAGTTACTGGAGATGTTTCAAGAAGGGTGTAGTCTATTCCAATTTGAAAATATCATGCTGGATGTCATGAAGAGAGAGGAATGTGATGGGGTGGAGTGAAGGGAGGACAAGAAGAGAATAAACTAGGCAAACTAGGATACTGTTGTAGTAGCCCAGGTGAGATGTCATGACGGTCCTCAGCAAGTTTGAGAAGCACTTCTCAGAGAGTAGCTTCTACTACTATCTGCAAAGGAAGCATCAGATTAGGAGGTTCTAAATCTTCGAAGTTCCTGAAAATCTGAGATACAAATGAACTTGAAAAGTCACATTTAAATGATGTTTTAGTCAGACTACCAAGAAACAAGAAGACAAATTTGTGGGATGTCTAAAGAGAGGCAGCCTGGTGCCTTTGACAGGTAAGTGGGTTAAAGAGACACAAAGGAGGAAGTGGTGATAATTGTTTTAGGTTCAAAGAGAGTAGAGATACCTAACAACCAAATGCAGCATGAGAAACAAGAGTAGAACACTAATTTGACCAAACCAACTATAAAAACTCATTTTTTGGAAGAGTTTTGGGTAACTTTGAATATGAACTAGTTATTGGAGGATATTTAGGAATTATTGATAATTTCATTAACTGTAAGAATGGACTTATAACTAAGAACCCATTGAGTTTTTCCAGGTGCCTTCCTAACCATGTAGGGGAAAAACAACAGTCATGTGATTGGCTTAAGTCAAGTTGGAGTCACTTTTTGGATTTTCTTGAGTCTGAATTATTTCTTTATTTTCTCAAATTTCAGTTGCCTTAGTTTCTCTTAACAATGGAAATTATAGTGCTTATGGAAAATATTGTATACCTTGGATCTGCACAGTCTTCTGAGAGATGATTAAAAAAAAAACGTGTTGAGAAAAAAAGATGAGCTACTTAAGATGTTATGTATATATTCTTCCTCAAGGCTTAGCAGTGTGAGGAAGGAACCTCTTACCATCATCTTTAGGGAATGACATTCATAACTTTGTGAAGAAAGTTCGGGTAGTTTTTAATTAATAGGCAGCCTCTGCTCCTGAGTATTTTCCCTACGGAATTCAGTTGGCCCTGGCAGTGAAGGTGACTTCCTAGATGATCCTCCAGAATTTCTACTATAAGGAGTTTTTTCTTTGTTTGTCTATTTATTTATTTATTTGGTATTGGGGATTAAACTGTAGGCCTCTTGCATATATAGCTCATGCTCTGCAGTGAGCAACATCCCCAGCACCTCCTATAAAGATTTTCCTGTATGTGATCTACGCCTTCCACTTCCTCTTATTTTATTTCAAGAAATAAAATAGAATTACACCTTGAATTTTACATGCAAGTGTCGAGTTGAGGAGGATGGATGGAGGAAGAGACAGACTGGTGGTTAGCAGAGAACACTGAGAAATCTAAGCAGAACATTGAGAACAGTAAGTGAACACAACAATCAAAGACCTGGCACTTGAATATCTGACCCTGAAGCAAGCAAAAGCAATGCATATCTTCTTGAAGATGATTGAAAGTTATTATTTTAAATAAATTGTACATTATTCATAGTCACCTGAAAATCATATCTCTACTTTTCCTGGATTGGATCTAAGATCTAATAGATGTTTTCCTAGAGGTATATTCATTCTTACACCATCATTCACATATTTTATTTTCATCTCTTGGGAGAGTCCTAATTATTTAACTTTCGGTTTTCCTTTTTGAGTTCTACATTAGGAAGAGGTATTTAGGTTTCATAGACTTGAAGAATTATAAAGCATCTTCAAGGACATCTGGTCGGCCTCCTGTCCATTGCAGGTAGTCAACAGGTGATCAGCCTCTGCTTGTACACTTCCTCCTGCAGAGAATTCATTAGTTAATCTCTCTCCAAGGTAGCACAGATTACTCACATTCTAGTACTCAGTGAACCTTACTACTAAGATGTGTCAAGCATGTGTGTTTTATGTTACATAGTCATTTTGTTATATAGATTTGTTAGATTGCAACAACCTCTTAATTGCCTAATCTAACATATAGTGCTTAATCTTCTTCTCTGGGGATTTTTGTAGTATTTTACAGGTGTTATCCACTCCATCCTTCTTGAAATTTTCCTGATTTGTTTGCTTTGACCTTCTTTTCTAGTTTTCCTCTTTTCCAGTGTCTTCTTGGTTTCTGTGAAGGGCTCTTCATCTGAATACCCTTGATGTTTTGATATATGTATGTATGTATGTATGTATATGTGTGTGTGTGTGTGTATATATATATATATATATATATACACATACATATAAAATATATGTCTCCATCCTTGACTTGCCTCCTAAACAGAAGTCCTTTGTATATGAGTGTCTGCTGTCATTTTCATCTAGATTGCACAGGAACTTCAAATTTGAGCTGTCCTACACTGAAATGTAGCCATTTTTCTTACCAAAATTCTATATTCTCCTTTTGGTCATTGGAACTTTGATCCATCCAAGCAAAAAAAAAATCTTGTTTTTAATTTATTTTTTATTTGTTCTCTTTATATATACATGACAGTAAGGATGTATTTTGACATATTATATAAACATGGAGTATAACATATTCTAATTAGGATTCTATTCTTGTGGTTGAACATGATGTGGAGTTTCACTGGTGGAGTGTTGATATATGAACATAGGAAAGTCATGTCTGATGCATTCTACTGTCTTTCCTATTCCCATCTTCCCATCCCTTCGTTCCCCTTTCTCTATCCCATCTTTCATCATCTCTCTTTTGTTTTCCCTATATATCATTGTGAATTTACCTTCTCCTCTCCCAAAGCTAGTGTTTTAGTTCGGGAACCCATTGCTCTTCAGCTTTCCATTGCCTCTTGTGTCCCACTTCTAGTCTTTGACCTCTTCAGCCCATCTGCCATACTGTAGTATGAGTGGCTTTTCCAAAGTGAAATCTGTTCCCAAGGATGAAACTGCAGTGACTCCACATTACCTCTGGGATCAAGCCCAGACTCCCGGCCATAGTCTATGAGGAAACCTCACATGATATGACCTCCACCTCCATTTCCAGCTTCACCTCTTCTCATTAAACACTGTCCCCTCTTCATTCTATCTGCCATTCCTCTGAATTCACTGGCTTCTACATGTGCACTATTCCTTTGTCAGAGTATTATGTTGTGAAAAGATCCTTCTTCTGTAATGCTCACTCCATTGTAGTTTATCTGCCTCATCTAGCTCCCTTACTTGCATCTGAATTTCTAGAGGTGAGTATACTAAGTCATGTTCTCATCCCAATGCATAGTTCAAGGAATTCTGGACTATTCATAGTATAGGAAATTCTGATTATTATGTAGTACTGTTTAGTTGGCCTTCTGTGGATACTCTGCAAGATTTAGTGTTCCCCTTCAAATATGCTACCCAGAAATTAACACAGTAATATATCTCAACTGATTTTAATGAAGCGGTATATCCACTTGAAAAGTCATCTCTTTCTACCAATATGGCCCCAAATAATCTAATAGAGTGCAACCGTAAGCCAGATGTGGTACCAAATACTGAAAATAAATTATCTTTCTGTTCCTCAGACCCATGATGTGGTATAGGCAATACCATCTCCATCTCTGTATTATAGTTTAGAAAGCAGATACTTAGAACATGTGTCCCATATTCAAGCAAAGGCCTTTTGGAATTCAACCCCACATCCTTATGAGTCTAAAATCCATGCTTTTTGTACTACCTAAACCTACCTTTGACATTTTTCAGTAGTCCAATCTTATTTAAAACCTGGGATCCTGAAGTCATTTATAATCCACCATTCCAGCTTGCTTTCATTCAGTATTTGCCTGATTGATTATTTGAATCTGTGTGCTGGAGTTCACATTCATACTTATTAAAATGCATAGGACTCGATTTGTTTTTATTACTACTATTCTGATTTAATGACTTTGCAAACGAAGGGGATGACTCCTTTTATATGACTCAGTTTTACTGAACTGTCATCTCTTGGTGACCATGAATTGATTTCTCAAGTGGTCTCTTATCATTTACTCAACAATCCATCCTGGGATTCACATGAAAGCACCTTGGAGTATATCTGTTTCTTTTTCCTATTTAAAAACCAGGATAGATTCATTTTTTTCTCTAATGGCAATTTAAAGATTATGACAGTGTTCTTGTTGCTACAGGGTTTTTGTACCCTGCACGACAGAGATGAATTCCTTTTTATGCCTTTCCATTTTTATGGTTTTTAAAGAACATAGACTAAGCGTTTTCCCAAGATACCCAAGAGGTCATACTTTCATATATGAAGGGAATTAAAATTAAGTGGCATATGAATGGTTCTGCTCTGGAAATACTCATTAGAGCTTTGAAGTGTCTTGAAGAAAGCCAGTGTATGAAATACAAGCTGTAGCGCAAAAGAGACAGGGGAAAAACTCAAATATGTTCTTAGTGAACATTCAGAGACTGTCTTTCAACTCTCAGTAATTTTGGAAATGATTAAAGTGAAGGTATTCCACCAAATGTAGCATCAAATTTCTTCCAAAGAAATGAGGTGTCAAAAGAGCTTTACAGGTTTTCAAATGTCTTTAGCACTGAAATCATCCCATTCTAAAAGAGAATGGGCAAAAGGAATCATATAAATGTCACTATCAAAATATCTAAACAGAAACTTACTAAAGGGAATATATTTACAAGGTTTAGGCCTCAAATTATGAAATATAGCATCTTTTGTACCAAATCAAGTTGTTATAAAATATTTTGTAACATTCTCATGAAAATAAAGAAAATCAAATGAATGTAGTTAATGATATGCTAATCAGGGTCTACTTAAAAGAACAAAACTGCCCAATAATTTCAAGTGGGAAAGATATATATATATATATATATATATATATATATATATATATATATGGCAAGGGGAGGGAGAGAGAGATGGGGGGATTATTAACATAGAATTACAGTCATGAGGAATTGTCTCATAGGAAAGAAAGAGAAATTAAAAATGTACAGGAGTCGGGGCTGGGCATGTAGCTCAGTGCATAGTGTTTGCCTAGCATATACAAGTCCCTTAGTTCAATCCCCAGCACCACAAAGACAAACAAACAGAACAGGAATACTGATATAGGGAGCATCCACCACTCCTAGGACCCAAACAGAGTACCTGAGGAAGAGGAATTCTGTCTACCCTCTCCCAGACAAAGATCCAGGCCTTTTTGGAGAGGTGTTACCAATAGCGCACAAGATCTTAGAGAATTTCACTGACGTCATGTAACTCTGGCAGGATTTGCTAGACACCACCCATTGGAGTACTGAGGGAAGCCATCTCCAAAGAGGTGCCATCATTTGGAGCTCCTTGCAGGCTACCCACTGGGTGACTAGAGAAGTCATGCCAGCCAGATGCTTGGCTGGTGTCACTCCTCCACTAAATTACCTGAAGGCCATATGACAGGAAATACCATTTATGCCAGTTGGCTATGATGTCTTTTGAGGGGAGAATGCACCTGGAGCTGTTTGCTGCTAAAAAAACCACAGACTCCTCAGGAGGCCAATGAAGTTTGCATATCAAACCAGGAAGACATACCCACTTCCTTCTCCAGTGTACCTCCAGCACCCTCCACCTCCATTACTGCAGGACACCAAGAGAGGGTGGATTTGGAACTGAAAGGCAATACATTTATAGCTGACATAAACGGCATCTGGGGGAAAAGTCCTCTTTGATATACAGACATAAAGTCCTAGAATCTAGTAACGGTTAACTGTATTTTTCTTTTACTTTCTAATCATAGTTGCTTTATTTGGAAAGATTTATTCACATTAAGTGATCAAAGAAGTCGGAAGCCCAATGCATTCTAGCTGAAAGTAACCAAATCAATTATAAATCAGAAATCCAAGTGTAAATTATGCAGACCTTAAAAATCTATTGTAGTCTCGTGATAAATGTTTGTGGAAATTGAATTCAATTACATAGTACTTCATTTTAACTACTCTATATTTTGAAGATTTGTAACTCTAGTTTTTGTCATATCCAATAGGAATGTTAAAATTTTTGAAGATGAAAGGATGATCAGATCAATGTTCTTGTTAAGCTGGAAATGTTCCTGAGCACTCACTTGTGCCTTAACATCCACTAAATCAGAGTGCTATATGATATCAGTCTTGATCTTAAGATATGAGGTGATAGTTGTTTGCTTGATCTTTGTGCTCTGTACTGACATTCATGCATAATTCTGATGGTTATTGAGAATTATCCTCACACTGGTTATCTGCAAACTGTATTTGTCTTGGAACAATGAAAATCCTTTCAAATACTGTCAGTGATAAGCCTCAAATGAAGAGTATTCTTTCCTGAATATAATTTCCCAGGTGTCCAATGTGTGAATACCCAACATAACGTCTCAGATCACCTGGTTATTGCAATTGCCTTTGTCATGGCTCTTGTTATATGGTTTAGTGAGGACAAAGCATTGTTTGTGATAATGGCTGGGTTGCAGCCTATTCTGGAACATCATCCGGTGTTTAACCAAATCATGTCTGATAGGAACACAGGCTAGTGGGAAAGGTAACTGAACTAGAGCCCATAGTTCATACCATTTTTCCCAAACAAAGATCACATACTACCCACTGTAGAAGATGTCAGCTCTTTAGCCTCAATAAGACCCTGGATCTGAGCACAGGAACTTGGGTCCCCTGGTTTATTCACATTTTTACTGAAGTTTGAGAACCAGGAGTCAAGATGATATCATCGTCATTGTTACCTCCTCCTTCTTTCTCCTCTTCCTCTTTCTCCTCCCCCTTTGCCTTCTCATTTTTATCCTTAGTAATATTGGCTAGGGTTGCGGCAGTGCTGGATAGTGAAGCCCAAGTATGTCACACTGCTCTCAATTCACAGGGGCTTTTGTATTTATCAGGTACAGCTAGTAACAAAAGGCCAATTTTCGCTGCCAAAAGAAATTTTGAAAGGATATAGTGGTGAAAAAAAATATAACTTAAGGATCACTGTTGAAAAGGAAGGTCCTGAGCATATGTCTGTCTATCAGGCACTGATTGATGGTCAGCATGGCTTTGAGTTAGCTCCAAGTTCGTGGTCTGTACCCACTTTTATGTAAGAGAATCTCCTAGGTGCAAACATGGGGAAAAAGGTTTACCAATAGGCTGTTCTTAGAAATTAGTCAGAATGGATGTCTACTCTATAAGATTCTGACTTGTTATCAAAGTTATACACACAAGATAACTCTAAAAGGGATGACCTAAGAATTTAAGAAGTATTTGTTTGTTGTATTCTAAAATAAATCTTAAGGTAATGAGGAAACTTTCAAATTTTCTTAATCCTCAGCCTGAATATGCCAATATCTGCTTTTGGTACATTCCACCAAGCCTTAGAGAGATGGAAGAAGGACCAGAATTCTGGGAAAAACTCCATTTGGTAAGTAATGAGGAAATTTTATTTTTTTCTTTCTAATGAGATAAACTCAATGCTCATGTCGGTTGATGCTATAGATAATTCTGTACTTGTTGTGGCCTCTTGAAGATTCCAAGAGGTGGCTCCTACTGTATTAGAAAATAACAACTTGTCAAATGATTCCATCTAACAAATCAACAACACTTGAGGTACACACTCAAATTCAAAACAAAATTGTGCTCTTTGCAAAATGAGTGGAGAATTAGTTAGAAGTTCTGTTTCCCACGGAACTTCAGAAAATGTGGTCTGGTAACAAACAGGACAAAGGTGAAAGTTGTGTGATGAACAGCTCCTGGTCTCAGCTCTGCGGGAGCATCTCAGTGATTGCTGCATCCCCTCAGTTGGAAATAATGTTAGAAGTCTCAATCTGACATCCTTTCTAAGTGTGCAGCATTTGTCCTCTTCACCAAATGAAGTCCTGTGCATTATACCCAAGAAGCTCCCAGGAAGAAAATGAAAGAAATTCCAGGAATGATTTTCAGTTAATGACCCAACAGAATGTGCTTAAAAGTGTCTCCAAGCCCAGCGGTTGAGAACTGAAAATCTAGAATGGGGAGAAGCCCAGACCCCAGGGCCAGCTGTGTCTCATCCACACCTTGACTATCGTGCCTCTAATCCAGAATCCAAGAACTTTGAAGTCTCATGAGCCAGGACTACTTGATCCCACCCGCTGCAGTATGAACATAATGTATGCTGAAAGTGAACTTGAGAGTTCCCATAGGGATGTTGTAGCATCAAAACTCAAGATGGTTTGGTACCGTTAAACCTAAACAATCCCTTATCCCTGTGTCTTCCCTCCCAAGCCACGCAGGAGACTCCATGCCCTTGGTTAGTAAAAGGCTCTGACTTGCAATCTGCTTCCTCTCCTCAGTGGAGAAAACAATAATTATTTTAATAACTTTTATAGTGATAGCCCTCCTACATGCCCTTTGAAGGAAAGGACAGACTTATCTGTCAGGCAACAGTGCACATTGACTGAGTGCTCACTGTGTTATGCTCTGGAGATACAAACATCAAAGAACTTTGTCTCTGCCCTTGAGAAGTTCATGTTCAAGGAGGGAATGAGTAAAGAGACATCCAGTAAATGGAGATAAACTCTGTTTGCAGTCAAAGTGGAAAGAACATCTTCCTCGGCGTGCATCCCTAGAGCTGTGTCTTAGACAACATGTGGATGCTAGACAAAGAACAATTGTAAAGGCATTCATGCCCAGAAGAATCGCAGCACAAAGACCCAGAGGTTCAGGTGGGGAGGATGGGGTTCAACACCATAGCGGTGCATAGGAGAAGTGATGGGAGAGGAGGAGAGCAGCAGGGTTATGGGGCTTTCTCTTCCAATATAAAGAACTTGGAATTTTTGCCCTGACATTAATAGAAAGAATATCTTGCCTTGCCTTTCAGCCACGTCCATCTCTAGTCTTACCTGCCGCAGGTCATTTTCTGTTTCCTCATGATGCATTACACCTCGTTCACTGGGACATAGTAGGTGACTAATACATATTCCACCTATTGTCAAACCTGAGGTCAGGCAGCAAAAATGGGGAGAGGTGGCTGTTGTTACCTGTGTCTGGGCCTAGACAAGCACTTCACTATCCATTTCAGGTGGTTAGCATAGTCTTTGGGATTTATCTTGTATTTTTGTCACACAGCACAAACAGGAAAGTGCTTAAGAATACATTTCAGATGGTAAGTAATCCATAAAAAGAAGCAGGAACTGGACAATGTGAGAATTTAATGGTGAGGTTTACAGGCACATTTTTCACTTTGATAGAATGCGACTGGTGATTTTTGACAGGGTGGGGAGGGAAACTGCTTCCAGATGAGAAAGATATGATTGCCATCTTTCTCACTAAACTAGAAATAATTTTTTGATTTCTAAGAAAGCAAATGGACAGTGTGTTTTTTTTTTGTGTTTTGCTGACTCAGTAGTATTGCACAGGTAGGGATGAAAATGAACAGATCATTTCATTGTACCGGGGGATATTTTTCACTCATTATGTTACTTTCTATTTTCAGAACATTTGGAATTGAAATGATTTGAAATGAGAGAATTCAAAATATTATATACTTTTTAAACTTAATTGGAGATTAAACATGAATTGAGACATTCTCTTTTATCTCTTCTCTTATGTGGTTAATACCCAATCTTCTTATGGTTCCTATCCATCTTTCCATTTTGGAAATACTTTTCTGCCATTTTAAACCATCTTTTCCTATTGTCTGATCTAATATTATATAATTTTAATCCTCATGGATGCTTTTGATTAATAACAAGGTATGATGCACACAAATTATTGTTGTTCCTCGGGTTCTTAGTTTCCTATTATTGTCTTTCTCTGTGTGGGTTCATATGCATGAATGTGGCAATGTGGATGTGAGGTATCTATATCTATTGTCGATCTCTATGGTTTTCTGCTTACTGTAGTACAAGTATGTGATTTATAACCTGCAGTGCACTTAATGCACACTTGAAATTTGTTTCAGGATTTACTCTGGATGGAGAATCACAAACAAATAAATAAACCAAATAAGGCTTTGCCCCTTAGATTCACACTAGTGTCAGTTTGTGCTGTCCTATTTCGGAATCACTGGTTGTGATAAGTCTTCCCTCTGGCAGGAGAAGGGGGAGGGATTATTTGATAATGAGTTTGAGTTTGGAGTGTTGGTGTACATAAATGGGTGTGTGTGTTTACGAATATGTGTGCACATATGTGACTGTTTTTGAGATCAGTCACTCTGCATCTGATACCTTGACAGTTACTCTGTGACATTATACTGAAGGATATTCAAGCCCTGAATTCCAGTGACTTCTCTTCTTAAGATGTCCTCCCTGAATGTGTTTCTTTCTGATTCTTTTAGGCATTATGATATCCTAGATCTTCATTAGTTCCCTGTTTAGATTGTATTTGCCTCTTTTCTGGTCCCTTTGCCTCCTGCTATGCTTTCTCCAGTTCATTTTCTTTTAATTTTTAAATTTTTGTTCTTTTTAGTTAAAAATGACAGTACAGTACAATTTGACTTATTCGTACAAACATGGAGTATATCTTATTTTAATTAGGATCCCAGTCTTGTGGTTGAACATGATGTGGAGATTCACTGTGGTATATTTATCTATGTACACAGGAAAGATATGTCAGACTCGTTCACTGTCTTTCCTTTTCCTGTCCCCCTCTCCTCTGCCCACTCCTCTTTGCATAATCAGTTGAACTTCTATTCTTCCCCTCCTCCCCTTGTTGTATTTTAGCATCCACATATCAAAAAGAACATTCAACCTTAGGTTTTTTGGAATTACCTTATTTCTCTTAACTTGATAGTCTCCAGATCCATCCATTTTATGTCAAATGTCATAGTCATTCCTTTTTTTTTTTTTTTTTTGGTACTATGGATTGAACTCAGGAGCACTCAGCCAGTGAGCCATATTCCTAGCCCTATTTTGTATTTTATTTAGAGACAGGGCTCACTGCATTGCTTAGTGCCTTGCTTTTGCTGAGGCTGCCTTTGAACTCGTTATCCTCCTTCCTTAGCCTCCCCAGATGCTGGGATTACAGGTGTGTGCCACCACAGCTACCGTAAAGTCATCCTTTTCCTACCTGAACCTTTGCATTATCTTCACTCTCCTGCTGGAGGACTCTGAATTGCTCCTCATTCTTTGAAGCAGCCATTTTTAAACCTGTCAGACCCAATGACCACTCTTCCTAGTAAATAATGTTCTCTTTACCCTCCTAAGATGAAACCAATAGAAAATATGGTTTACTTATATACATAATTTCATAAATACTGTATAAGACCTATTATATAGTATAAAGGAGAAATCCATTTATAATAATAATGCTTTTCATCACATCAGTATTTGAGTATGACAATATCACAAGACATGTAGAAGTAATAAGATTCTTGTACATATTCTTAGAATTAGTGAGTGTAAACCATACACAAATGCAACCTGTTGTAAGTGGGTGATGTTGGTGATGCAAATAACAAGAAAGGTGTGGTATGGTAATGGTAATATAATTTTCAAAAATGGTGCATAGGGCTGGGGTTGTGGCTCAGTGGTAGAGGACTTGCCTAGCATGCATGAGGCACTGGGCTCAATCCCCAGCACCACATTAAAAAAAAATCTAAATAAACAAAATAAAGGTAAGATATTAAATATTTTTAAAAATGGTATATAGATCTTAATAAAACTCTGAAGAAAATACATTTCCCACTGCTTTATGTGGTAGTAGAAAACAGTGGTTTAAAAAAAAATAGATACAGAGTATTTGACATTGCATGGAAAACAGAGTTATCTGAAAGGCTTGAATGATTATAATCAGGATTTTCATCTCCTGCATTTTCAGTAGAACATTTGAAAGCTGGGCAAGTCCTGGGCCGGTTCTTTGCTGCTCAAGGTTGCCCTACACATTGAGGGCAGCTGGAGAATCTGATGTCCACTCACTGAATTCCAATAGTAATCCCCAAACATCATGAAAATAAAAAATATTTGCACCTATTTTCAAGATACTGCTTACAAGTGTAGTACTATCCCTTGAGAACAACTAGTCCACATAATAAAATCTAGTCACCTCTGCTTGGCATCCAAAGCCCCCATAGTGGTCCTAAGGTACATTCCTAACTCAGTCTAATGTCACTTCTAGTATTGAGATCCCTGTACTAAGTAAATGACCAGAGAAGTTTCACTGATTTGTCTAAAATGAGGAAACACATTAGGAACTAGGTCATGATACCTTTCACTAATTAAATTGGCAAATAACTGTACTTCTTATGGTTGATGAAAGTCTCAGTGGATTCCTATACGCTACCTATGGGCACATAAATTTGTACCTTTTATTTTAAAGAATAACTTTATAAAACACATTACATGCTTTGATTTTACATATATTTTTCTTCCAAAAATTCCACTTCTACAAATTTATTCCTTTGAATAGTTATAGAATTGTGAGGGGTGAAAAGCTACTCAGAAGTTT